GGGGGAGGTAGACAGCACCGATAGGTCACCGAGATAGAATCCGATAGGTCACCGATATGGTAGTCCAAAATGTCATCCAACAAGATCAAAATGTCGAGGACAATCCGTCACCAATGTCGGAGATACAGAGTYCAAATGTAACCGGCGTCCGAATTGTGATGCCGCCAAGTATCAACCCCAACAATCTCCAAGTCTCCAATCCGGTAAGTACCACAGTCTCRTACCACCGAAGTCCAACACTGATCTCTGTCCAACTAGTATAAGTCTCCAATCTGAAGAAGAAGAAGAAGAAGAAGAAGAAGAAGAAGAAGGAGCCGAGGAGGAGAGAGAGAGAGAGGGGACTGGCGATGGGAGGGARGAGAGAAGCCTCCAACTCCCAATACCTCAGBYGGCTATGGCCGCCGGTAACCYAGTCGCCGCTGYTGCTGCTCCRCTYGCTGCTGCTGCGCTAATCTGCRCTGCGCTGTTCCTCGCTGCTCCTGCGCTAATCTTAGCGCCAGCGCTGTATCGCGCTGTACCATACCGTACCGGTAGAATGCCGGTAGGTCGATGCCTCGAAGTGAGGCCGGACCAGTACTAAGTACTGGTTTGAAGAGGACCGGCCTCACTGCTGCGAAGCCTTGGTTGGGGCTGAACCGTCCAGATCGACGATTCAGGTCCAACCGGAGAGCGGCAGCCTCAAACGGCGCCGCCAGGCCCAAAACGGTAATGTCATTTGGGCCTGGTCCGTAATCGGGTCCAAGTCGTGGCCTTTCGGCCTGTTATCCCCCAAGGTCGGGCCTTTAGGCCGTAATGTGTCCCTCTAACCCTGAGTCGGGTCCGGTAGGACCCGTGTGGCGTCGAAGATGTAACACACTCCCCCTCTTAAAAGACCGAGCTACCTGCGAGGGCGAAGTTGTCTGTCCGATACCGGGGTGGGTCGGGCGGGACGAGCTGCCTCCTTAGCAAGTCGTGTCTTCTCATAGTTGGCGAAGATAAGGGGTGCATTAGTCTGCAAATCTGTACTGGAGATCCACCCAGTGTCATCAGGCGCACATTGCTTGAATGTGACCTTGAACTGCATTGGCTTGTTGCCATACTTGCGGTGCGTGATGACTCGGTCAACTTCCTAATGTCCGTCCATAGAAGGCGGATCCTGTGATCGACGTCYGGGAAACTCGTCAGCAGGAGGTGGCGTGTAGATGGCCAGCTTCGATGCGTGGAAGACCCGATGCACTGTAAGGTGCGGTGGAATGTTGATCACGAAGGAAGGACCTGCGGGGTCGTCTCCAACGGCAGAAGTGACTTCCCATGGTCCGAACCATTTCGGAAGGAGTTTGTGCGAAACGTCCTGTTCGAGCGCAAATTCCTCGGAGAGGACCCAAACAAGGTCTCCCTCGCGGAAAAGACATGGAAGTCGACGTCGGTTAGCCTGCTGCTGCATGCGGATCTGAGCCTTTTGCATATTTGCRCGGGCTTTGATCARCAAGTCCCKGYACTTCCGRAYGGAAGCGGGAGAGCAAGGGACGTCTATGTCGGCAGCCTGTGGCAAAAGGAGATCAGCGAAGATCCGTGCTTTCTCTCCACSATGATSTAGCTCGAATGGTGTGACGCAGATCGTYGGRTGCACCGAAGTGTTGTAAGCGAACTCAATGTCGGGAAGCCGGTCAACCCAATCTTTCTGGTCGGGACGGATGAGCGTACGCAACATCATCTGAGCGGTCTGGTGCGCTCCCTCCGTCTGGCCATCCGTCTGCGGGTGCCGAGCCGAGCTCGGCTTCATTGTCGTACCGGACTCAGCCATGAGGGAAATCCAAAAGGCCGACATGAAGCGAGTATCTCGATCACTCACTATGTCTTCCGGAACACCTTGGTTGGTAATCCAACCGGTGTGCAAGAGTCGTGCGAGCTCAGGCGCTGCAGCATGATACTTGCAAGGAAGGAAGCGAGCAATACTTGCTCAAACGGTCAACGACCGTGAGAATACCGTCATGGCCGTGGCGATCGCGGGGAAACGGGTCTGTCACGTCCATAGCAATGGAGAGGCGTGGTGCCYGAGGGATCGGCAACGGTTTCAGTTCGCCGAAGGGGACTCGAGATCGACCCTTGTTGCGGTGGCAAACTGCACATGACTCAATGTACCTCGTGATGTCATGAAGGACGTCGGGCCAGTGAAAACGCTGGTGGAGGCGTGCTAATGTGCGGTTCATGCCAAGGTGTGCCGAAAGTCGTGCGTCGTGGGATACGCCGAGAAGGCGAGTCCGTAAAATGCGATCTTGGGGCACAACTAGCAAGTCCTTTCCTCTCGTGTGAAGGAGAAGGAACCCGTCGGAAATCTGATAGTGGCTAGCCGGCGGGTGATCCGATGAGAGCTCTGCATATAGCGTAGAGTAAGTCGGATCGGACTTGTAGCCTTTGACGAAATGCGATTGCAGATCGTCATCGAGGTCGAATGCCGTGGTCACAATGGCACAAAAGTCGGGCCGTCGTGAGAGGGCGTCCGCAACTCGATTGGCGAGACCGGGAATGTGGCACGGGTCAAAGTCGAAGTGGTCGATGTAATACATCCATCGACCGATCGTGCTAGTGACCGTATCCTGCGTTTTGTAAAAGGTCAACGGATTGTTGTCCGTATTCCATTTAAGACGCCGACGGCCGAGAAGAAAGTGGCGCCACCGTTTGAGAACGGTGACGAAAGCGAGTAGCTCTTTCTTCCTAGCGTCGTCGAGAGTGTTTACGAGAGGCACCTTTTGGGAGAAATACTCGACCGAATGCCAACCGTCCTCGTGACACTGTTCCAACACCGCACCAATCCCGTATCCCGAAGCGTCCGTAGTCATTTGGGTGGGTAGGGTGGGGTCGTATATACGGAGGGCAGGTGCGGCTTGCATCGCTGCCTTCAACGTAGTGAACGCGCCACGGGCTGCGTCGTCGAACTCGAAGGGCACCTTCGGGGACTGAAGTCTCGACAAAGGAGCGGCCACTTTCGAGTATGACTCGACGAATCGCTGATAATATCCAGCCAAACCCATGAAAGAGCGTACATCCGTCGTACAACGGGGTTCCAGCCAATCCACGATGGCTTGGATCTTGTTCGCTAAGGGACGAATGCCTTTCGGCGTGACAAAATGACCTAGGTACTCAAGCTCTTGCTTGGCGAAATCGCACTTGTCGAGATTCGCTTTGTACTTGGCTAGTCGCAAACGATCCAGAACAACGTGAAGGTGTACGATGTGCTCGTCCAACGTCCTACTGTAAACCAAGATGTCATCAAGGCAGATGAGGACGCTGCGATCGAGCAAGTCGCGAAACTCAGTTGTCATCGCTGTTTGGAAAGTCGCGGGGGCATTGGTGAGGCCAAATGGCATGACAACCCACTCAAAATGCCCGTACCGTGTCTCGAACGCGGTCTTGTACCGATCTTGAGGCTGGATTTCAATCTGGTGGTAACCTGACTTCAAGTCCAACTTCGAGAAGTACGTCGCACCGCCTAATCGCTCAAGGAGATCATCAATCCTAGGGAGAGGGCCGGCGTTCTTTACGGTTTGTGCGTTAAGTTTACGATAATCGATGCATAACCGTAGATCTTTGTTCTTCTTCCAGACGAAGAGAACAGGGGCACCGTAGGGCGAACAACTAGGGCGAATCCAACCCTTGTCGAGAAGGTCATCGAGTTGAGTGCGAAGCACCTCGAGTTCCTCTTCGCTCATGTGGTAGATACATCCACGCGGAGGTACGGCGCCAGCCTCGAGAGTGATCCCGTGACGTATGGGCCGATCCGGAACCGTTTCGGTGGGCGCCTCGAAGACGTCTCTATACTCATCCAAGAGGTGAGAAATGCGTGGGTCCGGCGGTGACGCGGCTGGTCCGTCCAGCGAGGGGAAAGCATGCAAGAATACAAGGCCCATCTCCTCGACGTCATTCCGAGCAATGGCGTCGCGAATTCTCGCAACGGAAACCACGTGACAAGCAATCAAAGTGTGAGGGGTCGCGACCGTACGTGGGACTAACTCTCCGTTCCGATCACGGATGTGAACGGTTCGGTCATGAAAGTTCACCGGATGATCAGCGCTACGCAACCAAGACATGCCTAGAATCATGTCGAACTTGGTGTCAAGGATGTCAAAAGACACCGGCTCGCACGCAAGTGGGGCCAAGTATACCGGAACGTCGTCAACGCATCTGTCAATGGACTTTTGCGTGCGGTCGTCCGCGAGTGTAACTTGCGTGGGTTGCGTCTTCCTTCGAACGCGCGGGCCAAGACCTGCGCGGGCCATAAAGGCTTGGCTTATAAAGTTGCGAGACGCTCCGCAATCAATCAAGGCACTACAGGTTGCCTTTCCGATTTGAATGCGGATATAGAGCAAAGGCGCGTCGGTTTCGGCGTACCTTTGGGTGGCGTACTCGCGGTCAATCTTGGCAAGATAGGAGCGGAGATCGACAACCGCTACCCCGTCGTCCATCAACGGAGCTGGTAATGTAGTGTGCAAATAGGAGCGTAAATTGCCATCAAGGCGTTGCAATGCGGCCTTGGCAAGGTTCCGGTCGAGGGTAGAGGCATCCAAGCGAAGTCCTCTCTCGTGAGCGGGTCAAGCTCCTCAAGTCTTGACCACGCCGTCGAGTCCTCGGAAATCAGTGGCGAACTGACCGGATCACATGCCGACGGTGTACAGGCTGCGCATACGCAATCTAAGTGCACGTGGCTCGGCTGGTCTAGTGGTGGTACCAGCTGGGCGGCATAATCCTCGTACGTAGCACGAGAATCAGCGACTAACGCATGCTCCTCGGTAGTGACATCGATTGCTAGCAAGGCAACCGGTTCCGGCGGAGTGAGGAGAGACGTCGCCCCTCTCCTTGCGTAACTCAGTTTCCCGAGTTTGCTGGACGGAGTACGCGTGCCTTGCCCTTTTCGGGGCATTGTGCAGTCAAGTGTGTGACTCCATTGCACCAAAGGCAATATCTATACTTTTGACGAAGTTCATAGACTTCCTTGGTGATGTTGTAGGTCGTCCATGGCTGCTGCCCAGTTCCCGTTGATGCCTTGGGTTTTCGGACCCTCTTAGGACGCTTCGGCGGGAGCGCTGCTACAATTCCTCCATCACTTGAGGATGCTGCTGCAGCATGGAGATCGTCGGTTTCTTCCGAAATCACGGCATGGTTATGTGCCGGACGCTGATAGCCCTCCTGGGCCACATAATGCGGCTGGGATTGTTTCTCGTTAGCGGCCTTGTCGTCCGTTTGGATGACCAAGTTTGCGCGATCGAGGATAGCCTGGAACGAGGTATAGTGGTACTCGTTACCGAGTGCCGACCGCAATCCTGCGCACGATCGCGAGAAGAACTCGGATCGTTGATTAGGAAAAGTCAAATCGAAGCCTGGCGTGGTCACTATCTTCTGCCACTTGGTTGTCCAGTCTCGAGTTGGCATACTTCCTTGAGAGCAGGTGTACACCTCGTTCATGGCCGCCTTCACGACGTTGCGGACCATGAACCGGGTGAACCATAGCTTCTCGAAATCCTTTCACGTGATGTGCGTGTGAAGTTCGGCGATGGTGCATGTGGGTAGCCGCCAGATGGTTCATCCATGCCTGTGCTCCTCCAATCAGCTGTAAGCATAACGCCTTCATCAGATAGTCGTCCGGGACCGTGAGGCATGATGCTTCCGTGAGGAAACGTTGCCACCATGCCAAAGCGTCCGTCTTGTTGTGGTCGTCGAACTTGCTGATGTCGAAGTGCGGCATCTTTTAGTTCTTCGTAGTGGCGTCCGGTTTCGTCTGCAGCTTGGTGATGTCCGTCTTGATGGCGGCCACCGTGCTACTGATCGTGTCCGGCCCATTGAAAACACCTATGTCACCGATGAGATTGACGACATGATCGATGCGCCCATTGAGCTGCTGCGTCGTGTCTGTCATATCTGGCGTGCAGCCTGACGCTGCTTGGGGAGGCCTTGCCTCCAAGGTAGCAATGCGTGCATCCAGCTGTTTCAACTGGTTGTCCGCGACCTTGACAGCTGCTGCAAGTATCTTCACGTTGTGGCTCAGATCATGCTGCAGCTGCAGTGTGGACCGGGAATGCAGCTCCCCCATGGAGCTGTTCCAAATGACGGCGTGCATTGTATGGAGTAGAATATCTGCCAGGTCTTTCCTCTCTTGCTGTACTGTTGTCGGCTCGCTGCCGGGTGCCGGGACATAACGCATCCCGTTGAGCACCGCTGTCCATTGTGCTTGGTTAGCACTTACAAGTTCAGCGCTGCCGGGGTTGAGCTGATCGATCGCCAACTGGTCTGCCTCGGCTTGACGCCGGGTTTGTGCTGCAGCTTCCTCTGCTAGCCGTAGTCTTTTGGCTGCGACAGCCTCTTGCTGTTCCTTGACCTGGGTGAGTGCGGCTTTATAGTCCTGCATTCGCTGAATGAAGTCCGGGAGGGGCTCATTCGACTCTCGCACCGGACAGACTTGTAAGGGTTCGGCATTACTAGCTGTCGAACCCTCGGATGATGATCCGCTGTGTGGCGTGTTCGCCATCTGAGTACTGGTCTGTGGCGGTTGTAGAATTGTAGGTTGCTGTTGCTGTTGCTGTTGGCGATCGGCGATCCGCTTGCTGCGTCGTGGCTGCTGTTGGGAGGCTGGCCCTGCTGGCATCAGGAACTGTTGCTGAAGGCTGGCTCGTCCGGAGGATCGCAGAACAGTGTGAGGGAGAGGGTGGGCACAGGGATAGAACAGATCAAGCAATATACATACAGTCCCTGTCCCAAGGATGGACTAAGACACCTAATCAACAGAAAAAAATAAATTTTCCCGTAAACAATTCAAAAATTCGTAATAAGAAGAATAATAACGAATTATTTAATCAATAAATTCAATTAATAATTAATATGAAAGAATAATTCTTAAGGATAATCAATAAACAATCTTTGCAATAATGATTTCATAACGATAATCAATTAAAACAATCTTTGCAATAATGATAATGAGTGAATTTGAATTGTTATCAAGATCAGGTATCCCTTGAGATCATTTTTGCGTCCGGGAGTTCACTGTTAATTAGTGAACTACCCCGAAGTTGCAATACTGAGGGTCAGAGTCGGATTAGTTTGCCAATAAAAAAATTCGGACAAAAATCAGGAGAAAACACTCGAATTTTCAAAAACGTGAATTTTTGGGAATTTCCACCGTCAAAATCCGATTTTTAAAGGCCTAAACCCGTTTTCGGAATTTCTCAAACAAGGGGAACAAAAAAAAAAAATTGCGAAAATTTTGGTCCCAACCCTAATTTTCCGCGTTTCGGCGGAATTTCCGGATTTACGGTCCCAAAACGTTCGAATTTCCCCAAGTTGATCTAAAACCAAAAGATTTTCTTAACCCTAATTTCCAATACTGAAAAGACAACGGAAATACCAAAAGAAAACGAATTATAGGATTTACAACAGAATGCCGAAATACGGAAAGCTGAATGGAAATCAGAATGCCGAATTTCAAACAGGATACTGGTTCCACCCTAATACGTTTACAATCAGAAATCCGAATCTTGACAAATTATCGGATTAGTATTACTCAATCGGAACCCAAATAACAGCATACCGGGAGACAACAGAAATCCGAATTATAAGTCCGAATGCCGAATTGAAACGGCAATGCCGAAATAAATAGAATACCGAAAAAGAAAAAGAAAAAAAAATTTGCAACTTTGAACTCGATAGTAATTCAGAGCTGATTCGGATGATTGAAACAACAATCTACTTCCTAATCAGACTTACCTGGTGAGCAGATCCGT